AGTACAGAGCATGTTGAAGACCTGAGGAAGCAAGGCACGTTGGCCTTTCTTAGCCCTTCCCTACGAGGCAGCAGGGGTGGCTCTTCCCCATCACATCAAGTGAGAAGAGATCTACTTGGTTCATCACAAGGATTAGGAACCCACAAGTGGGAAGACTGAGTCAGTCCCTGGCCCCTGCTTGTGAGCTCTGGAGACTCTAGGCTGGCCCCAGAACAGAGCAGTGGGGCAGAGCAGAGCACTGTGAGAGTGTGGAGCTGCAATGCACTGATGAATTTCATCTGGCCTTGTGGGCAGTTGACCATAGACAGGGGCCTGAGTCTGCCTGGGTAACCTGATGGCAAGAGGCTGCCTGGAGCTGCCCCCAGGGCAGGGAGAGGAAGTAGAACATCAGGAAGGCAACTTCCCCTGCAGGCACCAGTGTGGCACAAGTGCACTGTGTCTCACACGGATCCTGAGGAAAGCAGTGAGTCAGAGCTCCCTTCTTATCGTTCTGCCCATAAAAGAACAGTGTTTGAATGGTATCAGCGGGAGTTCCACCTGAATAGGAAGATGCTATCCTTTACCAGCAGAGACCACCTCCCCTCATTTTGACTCAAGAGCATCCAGCAACAAGGAGAGAGAGAGAGAGAGAGAGAGAGAGAGAGAGAGAGAGAGAGAGAGAGCGCTTTGATTTTAACTGAATATCTCTATGAAAAACTTTCAAACATGTATGAAAAGTAGGAAGGGAAGAATGAATATAAAGGCCATTAAAGCCATCACCAGCTGTGACGGTGATGGACTAGTATCCAATCTTGTTTCATTTCCTTGCCCCATGAATTGGCCTTTCTGCTGAATTACTTTGAAGGAGGCCACAGATCTGTTCTTCTGGATTGAGCTTCTGAATCCCTGCAAATGAGTTCTAATTACAAAAGTACAGATTCTGAAACCAACCAGAAGATCCCAGATTCTCTCATTTTGGGGATATCCCATTTCAGGAAGATAATACTGTGAGAGAACAGATACTGTTTCTATTTTAGTCATTACTCTAGACCCATAATTATACTAACACATGAAAGACACTGGTCACTCAATAAGTATTTGTTGAATAAGTGGATAAATTAATGTTTTGTTTAAAAATAGTCCAGCTTTCCTTCACCATAACCCAGAGTGCTCAGATAGAGGTAAAATACAATATTTTTATTTTATGTTTCTCAATTGTATTACCTCAGTATAGACCCAAAGTAATGAGCAAAATGTTTTACCAGGAAAGACTGGTGAGGGGGATTACCTCTTCTAAAAGGGATTTTTCAAAGTGATTATGGATAAAGTTATGAAACTCAGCTTCCCTAAGCCCTTCTACATTTTTAGCATCTTTGGGAGAACTTGCAGACAGATCTTTCCAGGATGCTGATGTGTCTTTGCCTGCCTAGTCTTACAATTCACTCTGAATTGAATTCAAATTGCTTTCATCCTCTTGCCAGCAATTGGTTGGAGGAGAGTAGCATCTGTCCCTTTTGTGAGTCATGTCTGTGTCAGTTTACCACAGCTTCCAGGCTCCCTACGATCTGCCACCTGCCCTAGTCTTGTCACCAACCTGGCTCTGGCAGAACCCTTGGATGTCTCATGGGTGAGGCATGACCGTAAGGATCCCACCAACTTCCTTAAGTTCATCCAAATAACGTATGATCTCAGCCATGAAATCATCTATGTCATAGTCATCGTTTGACTGATTTTTCAGTTGCAGAGGAAATTTGACTTCTTGTCTCAGATTTTTAAAATTGTTCCATAGGATCAATATTTTGGTGACATATGTTTTCTTAGAATCTATTTTATCAAATATTTTCTAATTTTTAGCATGAAGTTATGCATTATATTTTTGTACAGCATTTTTAATTTCATCTCTTTATAATTCTGAAGTTAAAGGCAAGTTTTCTTACTTTCTCTTTTTAGTTACATTAACTAAAGAGTTCTTCCTTTTTATTGACCACTCCAAAATCTACCAAAGATTAGCTTTTTAATTTTTCCTAAGGCATACCATATTGAATATAAATATCTTAAATTTCAATCATATAGCAATCACATAGCAATCTTTCATCATTTCTAACAAAAATAGAGATTTACCCTTAGTATCTATCTATGTATCTATCCATCCATCTATCCTCTATCTAGCTATCCATATTTCTACTGGATATATATTATATATCTTAAGTCTTTATGTGTATATATATGTAAGTATTTATATATTCATTCAGTTTCTCTTCCCGTTAAACATGGAAGAAATGTTACAGATCCCCTAGTGGATGTCTGACACAGCAGATAACACAAACTCCTATAACAGTACTTTTTTATAAAAGCTATGATCAGTTTTAATTTATCATGAGAAGAGTAAGAGATTAACAACAGTAAATAATAATGAACTAGAATAGTCTAAAAATAAACTGTAATAAAATCTACATGAATGTGATTTGTCACAAAATATCTTTTTTTGGAGAGAATGGGTGGTAGTGTGGCAGGTAAAGTCTGGGGCCTTGTACCTGTCAGACAAGTACTCCACAGCTGAGCTGTATCCCTAACTCCCCAAAATATCTTATGGTATTGTGCTCACCCTTCTTGTGATTATATGAGATGATACAGTGTTATAGTTAATAGCAAGCAACTAGAACTGTGAAAAATAGAACCCCAAATATAGAGAGATTATCTCTGTGTGTGTACATGCCCACATGTACATGTGTATTCCCCTGTCTATAAAAATATATATGCATATATAAGCATTTTTGCCTTAAATATATATTTGTCCCAATATATAACAAGGGAATCTGGGAGCCAAGAGGGGATTTCAAGGTTAGATGTCCGTGATTCAGTGATAAAGTTGCCAGATCTTTGTCAAGATTGTTTATTAGCTTTAATTAACTTTTAAATTACTTTATACTTTTTAATCAATCCAGAATTTACAGTGGTGTATAATGTGAAATGAGGATTTAATTTAATTTTATTTATCCTTAAATATTAATCAATTGACTCGGCATCATTTATTGACTGTATTTCTTCTTTCTTTATGGTCTTGTATGGACATCTTTACTACCAAATAAAGTCAGGTACATGAAAGATTACCTTGGAGTTATCTGTCGCATTCCATTGACTATGTCACAAGTATTGTAAAATAAATCATATTGATCTGTGTGCTAACATTTATGTTCTGTGTTATTTTAATATTTGAAATACTATTTTAAAGTATCTATAGTCAGAGTGGCGTCTATTTTTCAGTTTCAGATTAATCTTTGACATATTTCCCATTCATTCTTGCAGTTGAGTTTTAGAGTCACTTTGTAAAATTCCTCCCTTTTCCACCAAAAGAAAAGTATCACTAAAAGTTAATTGTGTTAGATTTTTTGATCTGTTGAGAGACAAAGATAGAGATAAGAAAAAGCATTTATTGAAGGCATAGGAGGCTCCGGCAGGCTCCAAAGATCCCCAGGAAGAGGGCGCTAGGGAGCAGCCTTTATGGAGTTGGGCTGGGAGTGGAGGCTTGGGTGGTTGTGGAGTCTTGGGATTGGGGAGGGGTTGGCGCACCCACAAAAAGGGAGTGAAAGGTTTATTTCTGGAACTAGAGGAAGCACACAGAAGTTACTTTGGGAGAAATAAGTTGTTTCTCTGGGCCAATGCCAAGATGGGCCAATGTCATGTCAGAGACAGCTAAGCCCCAGGTCGGCAGAATGTATCAAATTGTATGGGATCTTTATTAGACCTCCACCAAGCTCATACATTTATTTAGAAAAAATGGCATTATTAAGTAATCAACCTTTAATTTTCTTTATCTGACCTAATTTTAAGTTCCCTTGATAATTTTTTAAATTATTTATTCATATATGTTCTGCACACTTCTCATTACATAAATTTCCAGATGGGGACTCTTTTTAATTTTTGTTTTAAGAGTCAGGAAATTAAGAGTTTCTCAATTCACATAGGAAGTAAGTGGTGAAAACTGGATTCAAATTTACATCCATCTGATTGCAAAACCTTCCCTCCTAATCACTATGTGACTTTATTTAAGATTATGCTATGCTTTGAATGAGTTTTAGTAATCATTCTTCAGAGAAACATAAATTTTGTCATGATTTTCCAAACCGATAATGTAGAGTTTCGCATTGTACATTCACATATACTTCTAAGTTCTGAATCAGCTGCTTACTTCAGCTAATGTTCATTTTTTTTCCAGTACTGGAAATTAAACCCAGGTCCTCCACAATGAGCTCATCACCAGCCTTTTTTATTTTTTATTTTTGGACGGGGTCTCATTATGTTCCTAAACTGCTCAAGATTGTGCTCAAATTTGCCATCTTTCTGGCTCAGTCTCTCTGCCTCAGTCTCCCAAGGTGCTAGGATTGCAGACATTAACCATCATACTTGACTCTTCCTTCTTTGTAATAAATGAAAATTATGATGGTTGCACTGTCCTCTCCGTGGCCTTTGCCCACTCTCTTTTTCTGACTTCATTATGGCTTTTGTGTTTACTGTCTTGCCCACTTTCTGCTCAGAAGTAGAAAGATACTCACTTCTGCATAGGTGCTGCCCTGATCCAGCTGAGTAGCTCTAATTCTGGATCCTGGAGATCATATGCATAGCTGAGTTCAGGAGTTACATTCTACAGCCGTATATTCTTCTGTCAGCATTGAATGAAGTTCCTGAATCCACCCATTTGGTTTTGTCCATGGGACAATCTGAAATGATACTTTCTAAAAGTTCTTCAGATAATTTCGTTGCCCTGTTAAAAATAAAAATAAATTTCCCATTTTTCTTAAAGTAGATTCCCACACTTTACCTTGGCCAGTACCAGAGCTTGGATCTTGAATGTTCATTTCCACAGGCCCATGTGATCACAGCCTGTTGTGTTATTGGGAGGTGGGGAAAAACCCCAGGAAGTGGGGCCTAGTGCAAGGAGGTTAGGTCACTTTGGTCATGCCCTTGACCTACCCTTTGAATATTGGAAGTCTGACGCCTTCTTGTCTTATTTTTTATTTCCTAGTTGCCATGACGTGACTAGGTTTCTTTAATTCTGTGCTTTCCCCATGATGTTCTGCCTCTGCACAAGCCCAAAATCAAGGAAGCCAGAGGGCCATGGACTGACACTCTGAAACTGTGAGCCAAAGTAAGTCTTACCTCTCTTTAACTTGATTTACTTCAGGTATTTGTCACAGTAATGGAAAACCATCTAACTCAGTCAATAAGGTTTTGTGACGACTTTATTTCATATAATCCTTTTTTGTTGTTGTTTATTCCTGTGTCAACATATGTTTTGATTTTTGAAGTCCAACCCTTCCATAACCCTGGCTCCTTTATTTGTGGGTCTGTCACCAGGATGCTCTTTCACAGATCTCACGCCATGTCTCTAAAGTCCATTTCCTCAAGGTGGTTGTGGCAGACCTCCACGGACTGAAGGTACCACCTTAATTACCATGAATACTGTCACTGTGACAGAAATAACCACAATGGGTGCCTCTATGGTCTGAATATTTGTGTTCCTTCAAAATTCAAATGTTGTGCAAACAAGGATCAAAATATACAATAGATATCATGAAATAGGAAGAAACCATTCAAAAGGAAACGGGAACTGGTGTCAGGGAAAAAATGAGAAAAGAAAGAGAACATGAAAACAGAGTTTTGTGAGTGAGAAAGGGAAGGAAGTTGAAAGGAATGCGATGGGAATTGGGAAAAAAGAGGAATCAACATATATCATCTGCAGGCATACAATTTCTATAATAAATGTGATCATTATGTATATCTAGGTTGTACCAATAAAATTAATTAAAATTTTAAAAAACAAACAAGTAAATAAATAAATACACACATGCAAAATTCAAACATGAAGCCCTAATCCCCAGTGTGACACTGGTTGGAGATGCAATCCTTGAGTGGTAACTAGATTTAGATGAGATCTCGAGAGCCAGGGCCCACTGTTACCCACGCTATGATCAGTGGCTTTGTAAGGAAAGGAAAGAGAGAGGAGCTCTCTTTTTCTCTTCTCTTTTCTCCCTCATTAAGACATGGAAGTAGCAAAAAGATAACCAGATGCAAATAGAAAGAGAACCCTCACTGGGAAGCAAATTGCTGACACCTTGATTTTGGACTTCCAGGTTCCATAACTAGAGCAAATAAATTTGTTGAAGCCACTCAGTTGTGATTTTTTATTATAGCAATCTAAATACAATGGGACATTTATTTACTTGCTTGTTTCTTTTCTTATGATCTGTCTGACACGCTGGAATACCAGTGTAAAACCTCATCTGTCTTGTTTTTAGGGCCTGATAGAGTGAGCCGCACATCACTGGAGCTCTGTAAGTAAGTGTTGAATCAGAGTCTGTAAATCAACAAACACTCCACCCCTGCTGTATTCTAGCCTTTGCCTCTGGACAACTGAGTTCCAAGCCCCCCAGATGTGGGGACACTATCTAGCTGTTTCGATCAAAAAATGAGAAACATATGTAAAAGCCTTAATTCTCTGAAGGACACAGGCAAAGGTCTGAAGAAATAGTAGCCTAAATGATTATGGTGATGATTATCATCATCACCATGGTCCTGTATTTAAACATAGAAACATCAAAAGGGAGGTGGAGAATTTTCCAAGAAAAAAAAGAAACTGTAGAAATGGTTTCTATTCAGTTCGGATTCAAATATCACAAGTCAAGCAACTCATTTTTAATTCAATTTTATTATTTTATGCCACAGCCCAAGGATTGATCATTTGTTACAGGAACTAATTTATACTAACTGTTCCTAATAGCAATCATTTCTTATCATTTCTCACAGTTCTGGGAATTGACTGAGCTCAGCTGTGTGGTTCCTGATTCTACATCCCCCTGGTTTCAGTTAGATGGCAGCTGGGCAAGCAAGAGTCATTTTAGAGGTTTCTCCCTACGTGTCCTGTGGCAAATGTCAGCTAGTGGTTGAGACTGCAGCAGGGGTTACTAGAGGAGGCACCTATCCATAGCTTCTTCTGCTTATTAACCTATCTGAGCCTTCTTCCTGGCAGAGGAAGCACTTGGTACACAGCGATGCTTACTGCAGGCCTCAGGGCCTCCCCTAGTTTTCTACTGTTTCAGGTGCTCCCACTTGATTGGCGGCACGTGTGTGTGTGTGTGTGTGTGTGTGTGTGTGTGTGTGTGTGAACAGACTGAGCAAGCATGGGGGCACCTGCTCCTCGCCTGGGCCACCTGTGGGACTTGACTTCACTGTCCTCACAGTGCACCCGCAGGCTGGTTTCCTGGTGGCTGGGGTGGGTGGGCATGGCAGTGGCCCATCCTGGCAGCTGGCTTGTGGCCAGAGACTCAGGTCTGCCAGTGTGGGCGCAGACACTCTCTCCCCAGAAAAGCTGCTTGAAGGCACAGAAGGGGAAGAGAAGATTAAAAATAAAGAGTGGTCGTGTTCAGTTTTGAAATTAAAAGACAGCCGTGGACTCAAAGGCCCTTCCATTCTTTTGCTTTGAGGGGGGCAGGGTGCCAAAATGGGGAAAAACTTGGGGACAGTTGTGCAGCTTGCTTTCTGCAGAGTCCTAATGCAAGGGAATACCGCTCTGTACCTCAGGGAGCACAGCTGTGGTCTCACCTGAAACGTCAATGTGCCGTAGTTCAGCAGGCTTTGTGAAGTAGTTGCTCTCATGTCTACTTCGTTGCATGTAGGGATTTTGAATTTGGATCCTCCTTGCTTTGTATTTTTCTTGTTCACATCAAGCCAGTAGAAACTTACGTGAATGGAGCCCACGTGTTGTAAGCATGGATCAGCTCTCATCTCAGGTCCTAGTCTAGACCTGGACAAGGAAAATATCTTTACTCTGCAGAGAAAGCAACAGAGGAGTACAGGCACTAAATGATTACCCAACATGATGTGGTTTGCAAAAAATGGCAGAGCTGTGTTCTCAATCCGGGTACTACTAGTTTCACATACGTAAGATTCACGCGACATAAAATGCACTTCAAATTGGTTTGATTCATGGGGAAAAAGAAAAATGACAGGCAATTGGTTCAAACAGCTGAAAAATCCAGACACATTTGAAAACACCTTTCAGCTCTGGTTGCAGTATTTTCAGGCCAGATCTACCCTGGTGCTGGCAAAGTGCTTCCAATATCTCCCACTCAATAACCTAACCACTTACCTTCCCCAACCAAAGGGAGAACGTTCCATTTTGACTTTTAGTATATGGTGATAGACATGGACCTAATTTTAGGCTTTAGCATGTAGAGAGTCAATTTTTCCAGCACTATTTACTAAAGAGGCTGTCTTTCTTGTAGAGAACATGTTTGGCCCCTTTGTGGAAGATAAGGCGGTTGAGTGTGTCATTTAATCTGTTCCACTGGTCCTCAGGTCTAAACAAGGTCTAATATGTACAATAGATACTGTGACACGGGAAGAAAATGTTCCAAAGGGAAAAGGAACTAGGATGAGTGAAATAGGAAAAAACAATTGGGAAAAGAGAAAAATGCAAGTCAGTTATACTATTAGTGTCTCTTAGTTCATTAAAAGAAAAAGTTGGTGCTAATATCAATTGTAGAAATTTTTATGCCTATATCTTGTACCCTGAGCAACTACTTTAAAGATAATAAAATGTAATGTGTTGACAACTGTTATTGTATTATTTTGTTATGAAATTTTGTTTTGTGCCTTTTTCTTAAAAAAGAATTATAGCATATATATAAAATTATATATATATATACAAATAAAATACACCATGTACTTGGACTTGCCCACATCCAGAATTGTGAAGAAAATAAACTTCTGTATCTCATAAATTACTTTGGGTAGTTTGTTACAGAATTAGAAAATGGACCACACTATTGCCTTTCTTATAAGCTGCAGAGATGTTTAATACCTTTCACTAGGATGGAATTGGTGAATGCATCAGGGATAGAGGAGTCTCTCTCTAGAGCATTAGCACCCAGAGACAGTTGACATATTTGATGGTATTTTGAAAGACACTTGCCATTTGAGAAGACATCCAGAACCAATTCCTCTTTCTTACTTTAATCACATTGTTGTCTTTTGGAAAATCACCCATGCCCAGAGTGATTCAAAGAGACTATTTCTCACTTCTACCCAAATCCAGGAGAGAGCTTGTGATCCAAGCTTGGCAAATCTTATATTTATCTCCTTGGCTAAGATAATTAAGTTAGAGATAGATATTCAAGCTGAAGTAGTAAAACTTAATCCCAGATTTTTTGAAACTATTGAAAACAAAAATAAGTTGTCCTTCAGCTGGTACTGCTAAGCATTGGGGAGATAGGTTTGAACTTCTGGGGACCACCAAGAAGAGAAGCTTAGGTGGAAATGGAGAAGGGCAACTTTCTGACATTGTACAAGTATCTGGATTCACAATTATCTGAAACCAGATTTAAATAAATAAGTGATATTTTTCTCTTCATTGCCCCAATTTGAGGTGGGGTTTGTTATTTAGAACTGTAAAGAAGTCCCACAGTCAAAGTTAATATCAAGGTAGGTGTTAGGTTTCACCAGGAACAAAATAAAATGGTGTACCTTACATTTTTCCAGGACTGGGGAAGGGCACTTGTCCTCTTATTTCAGGGTGCTAGGTGTTTGAGGTCTGGGACTTACGAGGTGTCAGAACCCCAGCCCCAAGGGGCTCTATCCTAGATCCCGAGCTCCCACACATTGCCTGATCATGTGGACTTCTCCGTGGACACTCTCTAGAAGTTTACTGAACATTTGAGTAGCAATTAAACATCAGTCACATTTATTCCAACTTCCTTAGCAGAAGTCATTCTGGAAAGAAACATACTCTAAAAAACATTTTAATGTGAGATTTAATTAAGCACACAGCTTTAGGCTCTCATACTTTGGCTTTAAACTTTGGCTTGGCCACTTACCATCTGTGTCAAATTAGTTGACGAATCTAAGTTGACAAATCATCTTTCTCATCTGTAAAATGGGTTTAATGGTAACATTCACTTCCTGTGAAGCTGAAGTGTGTCTAACACTGTTGGAAACTTAGTGATAATTCAATATAAGCTGGCTGCTGTCATCATTGTGAAGCAAACAGTATTTCTCTCAAAATGTTCGGGTTTGTCTGTAATTTAATTCCTAACACCTTTTGATATGCTCTTTCACACCTGGATATAACCTCAGACAACTGGAGTGCTCAGTTATTTATGAGCAAAGCATACCAATTAACTGTGTAGACTCAGAAACCAGACTGTTTGGATTCAAGTCCTGCTGCATTAGTGGTTATACGCACTAAGGCAAGTGCTCTACCTCCCTGGGCTGTTTCCACATAAAGAGAGGGTGACAGAAATAGCGTAGACTTTAGAGGAGCTAAATACTCCCAGAATTTGCAGCAGTGATGACACATAGATGAGCTGTTACTGGAGGGTTTCACATAGTGCCATGTCAACCATGTACATGTCCATTGGCCAAACATCAACCTCTGGAGGACACAACCCACTCTGAGTATGTGGCACATCTTTGCTGAGTTGTGATAACATGGTTCTGTCCTGGTCCTGCTAATACCAGCATCATTCAGCAATGTACAGCCTTGAATGTGCTCTTTGGTGACAGCTTTAGCCATGCTAACCTTTTTTATGTGTTTTGAAAATTGATTAATAACGAATATTTTTTTAAAAGGAGCTTGTACTCAAAATCGGATTTCACTATCTGTTGTTTAATCTTTAGCAAGTCACTTAACCTCTCTGCGCTTCATTTTCCTTAGCAGGAAAGTGGCACAAATAACAGTACTTACTTCAGAGGCTATTGTGGTGATTAACTGAGTTATTATGGCAAAGCCTACATTATAAATGCTAAACTCTTATTTTGTAAAAGGCAATGTCAAGTTAATATATCAAAAAATGGAATGGCTTCCCAAACCCTTAGAACTCTCTTAAAATAGGTGAAAATATATGTCCATAGATTTTTGTAGGCTAGAAATTTCAAACATATAATCAACTTAACAGATATTTTAATGGACATGTTTTTGTTTTCACAATTTAGAATTTCAAGAAATGCAGTAAGTGGCATATATATTGAAATCAGGATGTTTTGCATAGGGCTTCTCAATTTCTTTTAAAGAATGGGAAAAGATAGTATTGCTGGGCTACATTCTTTGGGAGGTGTCATGCAAAGGGAACAAAACTGCACCTTAAACCACACAGGCGGTGCTCAGGACAGGCACCTGTAGGTCATCACTCTCTTATTTCTCACTCCTGGAATGGTTCACGCATTTGCCTTTCCAGCCTGGCCTGTCAGGAAAACTAATAGCTAACACATATACGAAACACACTTTGTTTCAGGTGCTGTCTTAATCAATCTCCACAACAATCATGAAGACATATTTTTATGACCCTATTTTAAAGATGCAAAGACAGGAAATAGTTAAGTAACTTCCCAAGGCAATGCAACCACTATGTAGCAAAGCTGGGATTTGAACACTCGGTTCCCAAAATCTGAGCTGTCACGCTTCATTACACTCCAGAGTTATCTCTTTATTCCTATGCAAGTAAAGTTTTCTGCAGTAGTATGAATGAAATGGGAGCATGTTCCAGAAGAATCCAACATTGGTTCTCATTGTCAAATTGGCAAGAGTGCTTAGTTGTGGATAATATTTGGGAAATTAACTTCTTAATTTATCCATTGCCCTCCGCATCCCCACACTCCTTTCTAAGGCACAGGAGTTGTCCTACTAGAATAGAATTCCTGCTGGGAGCCTCTGAAATTGAAGTGAGAGTCTGTTACCCCTCTGGATTCTCCACAGTTCAGCCCCTGAGTTGCAGGATGTGGAGGATGGAGCCCATGTCCAGAAGCTGACACATCTCACTCTGCCCTGGTAAGCATAGTGCATCCCTTCCGGTCTGACTGTAAGCTAACAATTGCACTCACCTTTAATTTACACTGAGACTCAAAAAAAGGTGATGCATACACTGAAGATGCTACACTCTCTATATATGCATACATATGTACATACATGTATACATGTATACATGTATATGTATGTTCACATGCATATCATATGTCTCCTGGGTCTCTTTCTGATGAACATACCAATATCAGAGTGACCAGGAAATTCCAGTAAGTCTTCATTCTCCAAGCCTTTATTCTTTCCTGATTAAAAATTCCTCCATTTTCTTCATAGCTCTTTTAGCAAGATTTTGTTAAGCTTTCCTTCTCAAAGTCTGTATAATAGAAACAAGACATCTTATTTTCTTTTCCTAGTTATAAAATTATATGATAATATTTGAAGATGTTTCAAAATAAAATTCACCCCCTATTCCAAGCCCTGGAGAATTACTGATCTATGAGTGATTTTCATAGAGTTTGAAAAGAATGTCTCTACCCAAATGGTTAGGTTTTGAGATGATGCCTGACGACTGCTATCTAATGCTTAACAGTTGGAAAGAAATCCACAAAACACAGAAGAGGAACAGATGGTCTGTGAGTTTCGTCCATTCTCTGTAGCTTTCCATCACTCTCTGCAGCATCACACAGAAAGGAGTTTGCATCAAACCCAGGTGGGTGTACTGCGAGGGGGAGGCAAGCTGTCCCCTGGCTTGAGCTGTATGATGCAACAGCTGTCTTCAGGGCCCCACTGGAGGGCTGCACCCACAGAGATGAGGTCCTGGCTTTTTACTCCAGCTGACGAAAACAGCCCCCCTGAGGAAGGGGTTCAGAAGCACCAGAGTCTGCCGGCTGTCACAGTGGCCTTGTTTCTTCTCCTTTTGTTTTCTGGAGCAATTGGGAGGGAATTCTACCCCTGACAGCAGTTTCCTGGCTTGGAGGGGCTTGCTTTTGGGATTCAAGATTGGTCCATTTTACAGCAGTTAAGTTAGTCTCTAGGCAATGATCTGACACTCCCAGGGCTGCAATAACAACTTATCACAAACAAGGTGGCTTTAAAGAGAAGAAATATATACCCTCATGGTTCGGGAGGCCCAAAGTCTAAAAGCAAGGTGTGAGCAGAGCTATGCTTTCTGGAGGCTCTGGGGGAGAAACTTTCTTGGCTTCTTCCAGATTTCTGGCAGCTTTCACACTCCTTTGTATACAGCTGTGTGTCTCTCTGCTTCATCTTGTCATCGTCTCTGTATCTTTGTTATCTCCCTTGACCTCTGCCTTATAAGAATACCGTGATGGTATTTAGTTATTAGGTATTGAGTATCTGAGGTAGCTCTATCATCTCAAGGACCTCAATTAGTCACTGCTGCAAAGACATTTGTCTCCAAAAGGATAATGTTTATAAATTCCAGAGCTGGCCTATGGTTTGTATGAGTGCTCCCCAAAGACCATGTATTAAACTTTTTGTCCCTATGGTGATGCTATTGGGAAATGGTAGATTCCTTAGGAGGTGAGGCTCTGGGGCGAGGGGAGTCACGGGGGAACATCACTTTTAGGGAGGTTGTAGGATGCTGGTCACTTCTCATCCTTTCTTTTGTTTCCTACTCAAAACTTGAGAAGTTTGATCTGCACGTGCTCCTTGTCATTGTTGTCTGACACCCCAAAAAGTTCAAAGCAATGGGGATTGGAACTTTCAAAACAGCTAAGTAAACCTTTTAAGTTTAAAATTAATTATCTCAGATGCTTTGTTGTAGTGATGGAAAGCTGGTTAGTATCAGATCTTTGAATAACCACGATGCAGCTCACTATGCTAGGTTTTCCTCACCACTGAGGAAACCCTAATCTTATTCTCCTTTTCTTTCCTTCTAGTGCTAGCCTTTTTCCTTTAGAGAGTCACACACACACCCTGATAGTCTCTAGAAAGAGTAAAGTTGGGATGGTTGGAGGAGCGTTTGATTTGGAACCAGTAAAGTGAGTTTGGCAGGATTCATTGGAATTAGTTCCTTCCTTCTCTGTCACTTTTCTCCTCTACACAAAGATGGAGTGGTCAAAGTAAACCACCCTGTCTCAACCGTGCACTATTGCAATGGCTTCCATTGAGCTTCCTGATCTTCCTCTTACCATTACAAACCATGTCCTCAATCTAAATCAGGTCGTGGCAATCCTTTGCTTCTAGCATCTGCAAAAGAGAGACACAGAATAAAGGGAGATAGAGCAAAGGTCTTCCTATGATGTCCATATATGCACTCCAAAAACTTGTGAATATGTTATCTTACATGGAAAAATGGATTTTTCAGATATGTTAAAGATCTGAGATGGGAGATTATCTTCAACTCTCTGGGTGAGCCCAATACAATCAAACCGATGCAGGAGCATCATGGACAGAAAAGGAGCTGTAATAATAAAATCAGAGGATACAGTGATGCTCTTTAAAGATGAAAGGGGATTGTGAGCCAAGGAATGCAGGCAGCCTCAGGAAGGTGGACAAGACTAGGAAGCAGAGTCCCCTTGAGAGCCTAAGAAAGGAAGCATCTCTATAGATGTGTTGGCTTTAGTTCAGAGAATAATTTTGGACCTCTTACTTTCAGAACACTAAAATAATACATTTGTATTCTCTTGAGTTACACAGTTTGTGATGAATTGTTATGGCAACAAGATACTAATACAATCTCTAAGGGATTCTCACAGAATTTAAAAATGTGTTTACATGATCAGGTCCCAGCAGTGTCTTTGGTCTACAACTTCCACTACTTTGCTAGTGCTCAACTTTCTTCAGCCAAATGGATCTCCTTTCTATTCTTTGATAGGTGTACCAGTCAGTTTTCCTATTGCATGACACGAAATTTGACATTCACAACTTAGGAGATGTTTAATTTAGCTTAGGTTTTTATGGGGAGGGTCCTTCAGTTCATAGACAGCTGTCTCCAAAGAAGAAGCATCATGATGGAAGACCATGGTAGAGCAAAGCTATTTAATTCATGGGCACAGAATAGCAGGCAGAACAACCTCAAAGAGAAACAGGCAGGGAATATATATAGCTCCCAAGACCATACCTCCATGACTCACTCAGACATACTCTGGAGTGTGCTTTAATAATCTGCTAGAGATTTCTTAATCCAGTGAGTTGAGGTATCAGAATTAATGATCACATCTTGTTAAGCATAAAGTGCTGTGGTGGATTAACTAATGATCAACTTTAACACCCAGCTGAACTGAATCAGCATGGTTCTGGATGTGGAAGGCCCACCTTTAGGATTGTTGCCAATAACATAAAAAGAGAATTGGCAGAGAAGATAGTGTGTTGTTGATTCTCCTGGAGAAGCTTGTCATGCTGGTTTTCCTCATATGAACTCAGCTGTTCTTATCATCAGAGAAGTTTTGTCTTCGCTGTCACTGAGGATGGCTGAAGTCCTCTTTAGGGGAGCCTTGTTCCTTACCTTGTATCTTACCTCTAGCTTCAGTGAAGATCCTTCAGCCTTCTGGCTCAGATCCTTCACCCCTGTGGCACAGACTTTCTATCTTTCATCCCTGACCTTTGGGCATTCCCGGTGCAGATCCTTGATACAGACTAGCACGAGTCATTGGCATGACCTGTAGGCCTCCAACTGGGCTCCTGGAGGACATTGCAATGGGCTATAGGTCTTCAGATGGACTCATGCAGGACATTGCCACAGAATCCAGGCCCTCAACTGGATTCTTTGGGTCCCTAGTGCGTGGACAGATCTCTTGCACCATTCTACATATGACTTTGTGGGTGAATATTATAAAATAATTTGATAAATTATGTTTCCTGTATTAAATTTTTTCCTTGAAAACCCTGACTACAACAGGTACTGTTCTTGTAGTTTCCTTGTTCTGGAAAACTTCACTCTAACTCTTTATCATGAACTTAAACTACCACTCTGTCAGAATTCTTCTTTGACTGTTTGGCTTAAAGAACCAACAACTCAATTGTTCCCATCCTTTCTCATGTTAGCCCATTACTCATTTCGTCTGTATCATTCCACAGATTGCTATCCATGACCATATTATTCACTATATTTAATATGCATCCCTTCTAGAACATCAGCTGCATAAAAAAATGGGCCCATGCTTTTTCCACATCTGGAACAATTTGGTTCTAAAGGAAGAGTTGTTGAATGAATGAATGAACAAAATACTTTTTATGTCTAATGATTTCCTGTTGTGGTCATGGGTTGACGGACAGAGTTCCAGCTCTTCTAATATAATAACAGTAAGAAAATTATCCTAAATCCCAGTTTGAGCCCTGAGAACATAGAGGATAAGACTTGAAAGTGCTTTTTTTCCTTTTTCTTCTCTTCAATAAAAGTTTCCTTTACCTTAACATCATTTTCAAATATTTCTCTTTGTTCACCCGTTTTCCCTGAGCTGTGTGCACTTACAATTAGGACAGTTTCCTGAGTATAAGTATCTTCAGAAACTCCTGAGCCCAAGTTCGCTTTTGACTTTTTGCTGCTTCACTAAAGAAACCAATGTTGCTCATGTTTTGAAGGTTCATGGCACTCCTCTGTCTTTAAACTGTGTAGTCTTAATGAAATACCAATTTTTGTCTTCTACATGATGGGCCCAAATCCTTTGGCCCAGAACCTCTTTCTCATTTGGGATGTGTCTGTCTGCACATATACATCAACTTGGAAACTCTCCCTGAGGGGATGATGATAGTTTTCCGTTCCCATTTCCACTTCCCCTCTAGGAGGAGGGTTGAAATACTTGGTCTAGACTGAGCACATCCATTGGATGAGGTGCTAAGATACCTCTCTCCCCTACTCCAGGCCATATCTACTCTGGACATGGCTCCTAGTCATTGTTACCTTGCCTATTTATGCTCTCAGATAATTCCTGCCCTTGGAGTATGGGATGGATCCAGTAAGTTTGTTTGTAGGGAACAACATACAGCATAAATGATATAATGTCACCTCTGTATTAAGTTTTGGAAGAACTGAACTTCCATTTTACTGGTATTCACATTTGTATTGTCTTCATAGCTTGATTACTTCAATTATGCAAGCTTTGGTATGATTAAAATGTTTATATATTGGAAATTTAATCCCTAAATTCATGTGCTAATGGCATTTGGAGGAAGAGCACTTAGGAACTAACTATGAGATGAGATCATGAAAGTACAGTACTAACGAAGGCATTACTGGATTTTAAGAGGAAGAGACACCCAAGCCAGCACGCCTGCTCTGTCTCACCATGTAATGCCTTTTACCATGTTATGCAGCAACAAGATCCTCTCCAGATACTTAGCAAACGCTGACACCATCCTCTCAGATGTCCCAACCTCCAGCACTATAGGGTAAATAAACCTTAGTTCTTCAAAAATTATCCAGACTTGGGTATTTCGTTTTAGTAATGGAAAGCAGACAAAGACAGTGCACTCAGATAAAGGCCTACATGGCAAAGGATATGGCAAGCTTCTGTTAAGTACCAGTAAGGAACGGAGGCCCTCAATTCAATAGCTGACACTGAACCAAAACGTGGCAATGATTATGTAAACAACAAAAAAGTAGATTCTTCCCAAGTTGAACCTTCAGATGAAACCACAGGCCCAGCCAACCCTTTGTTGCTTACAAGAAACTTAAACAGAGGGCCCTGCTAAGATCTTCCCAGAGTCTGGACACATTAAAACTGAAAAATAAAATGTGTGGTGTTTTTAACTGCAAAGTTTTAGGGTAGTACGTTAACAGCCACATATAACTAAGGAAATCCATGTGATTCCTGGAATTTCTCTATGGAATCTGATCCACTGTAAGGTTAGGATTCTGTATCAGGATAAGCAGCCAACTCATAAATCTTTCATTTGCCAAGCACTGTCCTTTACTCATTTGTTCCCCTCTTAGACTTTGTAGAGAGGAGTGACTGGTTGAAAACAGAACCGAATTTTATTACATTTCTTATCCAAATATCATTTTAATCTCACCATCACCTATGACCTAATTTGAACAGGCCCTATGTCAGAGAGGCTAACATTTATGAGACAAAATTCTGTAGTGGAAGCCATGTGGCTCGCTCTATGGGAAAAACATTTAGAATTCAATCTTTTGTTTTTGAAAATCAGAATTCACTTTTGGAGCCAGTATTGCTTTCTAGGAAGTGATGAGCAGCAGAATCACATGTGGGTCAAAGCAATGTCTCATATCAAACCAAGAAAAGATACAGTATCTCAGATATTTGGCTTTCAGACTTTTAGAGTCATATATTGATAAATGGTATTGAACTGATTTCCCTGACTTGATTCCCATTTATCTATCTTTGCATTTTTTTCCTGATTTCACCAGTATCTCAGCTTGCATGTGAGATTAGAAAATAAGAAATACATTTAGAATATTTAAGCAGTATGTCATCACAGGTGCAAAGATGATGATCAGTCTCAGATTGGCTCTGGTTTTCCAGTTGACAAGCCTAAAATCTGGTATTGTGTCTTTGTCTGTTGAGACTGAAGAGTCTGACCACAGGAAAGCCCAGGATATTTCTAGCAATTTCTTTCCCATCTGTCTATTTCTTTCATGCTTTCTATGTTCATCAGTGATTCCACTGACAGACTGTATGGTACACACAAAATTGGTTACTGATTTCCTCATCCCTGTGTCTGTTCACTTTTGTAATGTCTTCTGCCCAGAGGTAGAGCTACTTCTTCATTCGTTGAACTTGGCATATGTAAAAGAAGCAAACACAATATAAACAAAGAGCAAACACAACATAAAGAGCCTGTACATTTAACTTCTCTCCTCCTTGGAGTCACTAAAATCACTGTAGGAAGGAGCTGATCCCGTCTTTCTGAAACATCAGAGAGTATATGGGACAAAAACTGGAATCCTACTAAGCTTTTCCTAGACCAGTGGTGGCAAACCTATGGCACATGCCAGAGTATTGAAAGCTCTAAGAGGTTCACTATCACTGCTCTAAACCAATCATTCTGTCAAAGACGATACATATGTAAGAAGCCCCCTGGAGCTGACTTTCTCACTGCCTGAAGACACACAGGAAAGTCCATTAAAGGTAAGCTGGGGTGACCAGACCAAAAAATTATCACTGCAAACCAAATAAGTAGTTGGTTTAAAAACACACTAGGTTTTGAGGTGGTTTGTTGTTTAGTGTTAGGTAACTGTTGCAGATTTATATCATGCGCATGTTTTTATCAATTCATCTCCTTGGTATGTTTTGAGTCCTAGAAAGCTAAGATCTGTAACTTCATAGAAAGTGAAACTTAGGCCCTTGCCTTTGGCAGTGAGTTTGGCTATGAGCAAATGGAAATCTCCACAAACCAATGCTATGTCAGCTGAGTTGGCTCCTTAACTGCTTCAGACTGGCTCATTCTACATATCACTAGCCTCAGAACACTTTAGGAGGCCCTCAAAATTCCCATCTATAATAGAGAACCCACCATTGTGAGTTGCTTTCTAAGTTTATATCCACTTTGTCCCAACATTCTAGTTAGAATGGAAAAGAACAGCAACAATGTGCAATGTCACTTCTGAGATTAACTTATGCGATTACTGTGACTTTCAAATTGGGCACTGTGGCTGAAATCAATTGCCCTAGAGGAAGCCAGCCACCATGTCCAGATGTTGCCTTATGGAGAGGTTTGTGTGGTGAGGAACTGAATTTGTCAACAATTATGTGAAGAAACTTGGAAGGGGAATTCCAGAATCCCGATCTGACTCTGCATAAATTCATGACAACATCAGCTAACAGCCTCTGACTTCATGAGAGATTACAAGCTGGCTAAGTCATGTTTAGATTTCTGACACACAGCCATTGAGAAGTGTTAACTACTATGTATTTTAAAGTTTTGGCACCCTCTGAAGCCTTATAATGTCTGCATTCATTAGTTGGAATGGTTTTATCCTAGTTTGTTTGATTTTAGTATCTGTGATAAACAGCTATTTTAAAGAAAACAAGACAGAATAGCCAGAGCTGATTTAGTATTATCTTACTCTGGCAGCCTACTATGCTTTTGTTTTTGTTTCCTTTGGTTCTATCCTGTTATATCTTATTGGATATTGTTATGTGTGATAGTATAAACAAATTTTCTATGGAAAATGAGGTAATATAGTAGCCACTGTTGATTCTCTGCTATTTGGTTCTGAAAGCCCTGTAATGCTTTCATTCTCTTGAATGGTTTTATATTGTTTTGTTATGTTTGACACTATCATACATGAAGCTATGCTCAACTATTTCAAAGAAAGAGATATTATGATAGTTACTATTAATTATGGGTTGTCTTGTAGTAAAATGCTGTGTTACTTGCATTGTTCTGATCTGATCTGCTTTGTTATGTTCTCTTTTGTCTTAATCTGTTTAAAATTTAAAAAATTTAAAAAAGTTTTGGCATATCAGTTTTAACATACTGATAGATAACTAATGCAATTTAGGCTCACCCAATCAAAGCAACTCCCCCGCCACCCTACTCTACCCAGACATAATGATAAGTTCAGTAACACACAAGGGCTAGGGTTGGGGCTTTTATGGGAGCTCCCATTCTTTTTCAAGGATGATTCTAAAACGATGAGGCTGGGACTTCTGCAGCCACTTTGTCCTCATTAGAAGAAAACCTTTGATTATCTTGTTGGTCTCTACAACTTAGCACTCAGAACTATGAGTAGGTGCACAATATTTATTAAATGAAAGATAGATTTGCACCTACCAGATGGAAAAGACAAGAGGAACTACCATGGAATGGTAAACTCTTCACTAATACCATCTGAAATGTAACATGTCATCAAACATCTACATAAATCAATGTATTTTTGTTTTCTAAATATGACGCATGGAACATAGAGTTTTTCCTGTAAGTTAGCTTCTGCCAATTTTAACTGGCAGAGTTCTAAAATTCACCAAAGATGAGTTTACTAGGAAGGATCAATGGATTCACCATATCTGTCCAATTGCTGCATATACTGGGAATGCTCCAAGAAAGGAGATGAATAAACTCTGTAGAGTCATACCATACTGTGTGTGACAGTTTGCTCTTTTCTGCTACCCACTAGCCTTAGCAGCTACACAGGCATGTGCTACAGACTGGATTACTACATCTTTTGAAAAGAAAATAGAAGCATGACTTCATTCAGAGAAAGTATCAAGCTGACACCTAGTGATTCAGTAATACACCACTCTGCTCCCAGAGAAGGGGGACTCTTTCTCCTGCCAACAACATGTGGAAATAATCTTGTTTTTCCATATTTTCTTAGGCCTCTTTGGTTAATATGGCTACTGAGAAAAAGGTATATATACTTTTTCTTTTGCAGATGCTAAACTAAATTAGAGTAAAATATTTGGAAGTTAAGTATATGTGTTTCATAAATGATAATCTCCTCAAAGACCACAATAAAGTGTTCTCTGTACTGACACTCACCCCCTTGGTAATTTTTATCAGGACTGGGGTGAAACTTTTGTCATGTGTCATGTGCTTAATAATAAGCATGAACCACATTTCTGAGTGGCTGTGCAGCAATGCTGACTATAGGCACAGGAAAATACTGAGACTGTCACATCTGTGATTCACAAATGGCAGCAGTTTCAACTTCAAATAGCTAAAGCAGTTAGGGAAGTGGATGGAAGCAATAATACAACAGGGGGTAGTGGAGACCAGTGAGATGAGAGCACACGGTGCTTTTACAAGGACAGCCATTTCTCAGTTCTATTGAACTATTTCCACATGAAAATATATGCCCAGTGCTTTCGGTCTTCTGTTTCTTTTTCCCCCAAGAGAATTTGAAAGTCCAGAGATTCATATGAAGTACTCCAATTTTAAAGTGTTGATTATAATTTCAATTAAATAAAATTCTGTATGAGTGAAATGAAGCTTATCTACTGGCAACATCAGGCTATGGATCTTCAATCTGTAATGTCTGTAACAGAGTCCTTTTATATATAGCCATGTTGAATACTGGGAAGATGGTGGATCAGAAAGCAGCAAAATAGGGAGCCTCTCTGAGGGAAATAGCTCAGATGTTGTAATAAAACATCCTGGAGACCAGTCAGAGGGAGATGGATCCTTTTGACCCAAGAAGAAACTAAAGGGAAAGAAAAGAAGAAAGAGAATAAAAGAAAAGAAAATCATGGATGGAATTCTGTAGCCAGACTCGTTCTCACCAGAGCCAGTCCCTTTGAGGAAAGGTCAGAGTGAAGTTGGGAGTTGGCCAGCCCGAGGGCCTCAGTGGGAGGAAGCTGTCATGGAGGGGAGTGGTGGAGCAGAGAGCAGCACTCAGCTTGAAGATCTGTATCAGCTCGCAGTGAGTGCAAGGAACTCAGTCCTCCCTTGGGACTGGGTGACTGGCTGGGTGACATTTTGGAGTTAGGGAGGATAAGCTCAGAACCAGAATTATAGCAGTTTCAGTCAGCCCCTCCTAATGCAGAGCAGATTGGTGAGAATTGCTGGGAGTGAGTCCTGCCTCTGTGTGCAATCCATTAGCAAAGGACAAGGTCTCCCTGAAGCTATCCTTAACTGGCCCCATCCGAATGGCACACACTAGTGTGATAAAGACTCTCAGAGCTTGACCAGCTCAGAAGGGAGAGGCCATCCTGCCCCGCCCTTGATTGTTCTTCAGTGGTCATCAGGAGACTGGAGAGGGCAGCAATTCCTAGCCAGCATGCTTCAGAGTAATTGTGGCCAATACAGGAAGTGCCAGGAACCCCCACTGTCCACTTGTCTGGAGGAAACCAGAAACAGGACAAGAGGAAGAAACAAAAGAAAATCTCCAGCCCCCAACACAAACACTATTGGCCTGGGAGAGGTAAAGACATAAGAGATCACGGTTTGCACACCTGTGGTGTCTGAAAACACAGCATCTGACATACAGAATTATCCTCATGACATTATAAAAGAACTAAAAACATAAATTCTAATACAAGTAAAAGAAGATATAAGAAAAATAATACAAGAAATGCTAAGTATCTTTCAGGAAGACACAGATGGAAGAATGGAGGGACATAGAAAAATGCGAGAAATTTTCAATGAAGAATTTACAAAAATCTAGGATACATGAAACAGATTCAAAGAGACTACCAGGATATTAAGAACTCTATTGAAAGCTGGCAAATCTGCTTGAGAGAAACTAAAGATAGACTATCAAACCTTGAAGACAGGTTTGCAATGTGTGATCATGAAAGGAAAGATCTCTTAAAAATAACAAGGAACTAGGAAGTAACAATACAAAGGCTAGAAGATAACAAGAGGATCTATAACTTAGAATAAAAGATGTGAGTGAAGAAACAGGAGTAAACGCAAGTGAAATACAAAGGCTACTGACAGAAATAATTAAGGAAAACTTCCCAAGCATAGGAAAAGGAAATGTTATCCAGTTATATGAGGTATACAGAGCTCTAGTCAGCTATAACCAAAATAGATTTACACCCAGACATATAATAATCAAGATCCCAGAAATTCAACACAAGAAGAGAATATTAAAAGCTGTCATAGAAAACAAACAGATCACCTATAAAGGAAAACCTATTAGAATCATGACAGACTTCTCAACACAAACCACCAAATCAAGAAGAGTTTTGAGCAAAGTATTCCAAGTCCTGAAAGAAAAAACCTCTAATCCAGATTGATATATCCTGAAAAACTATCTCTCAAAAGTAATGGAGAAACAAGATACTTCCATGACAAAGAGGAACTGGGCGAGTTCATGACCACCAATTTAACCCTACAAAAAATACTGAAAGACATTCGAGAGAGAGAGAGGAAAAAGACCGTGGTTTCAAGAACAGTGACAGAGGGGACTCAATGAATGGGGCAGAAAGTGAAATGAAGGGGAAAAACAGACAACCAATGGCAGAAAGATAGCATGGCAGAGATGAGACAGAGAAGATTGGCTATAATCACTAGCATGGATAGTCTTGATACACTAATAAAAAGGAACACAGACAGAATGGATCAGGAGATAGGGTCCATCAAGATGCTCTATATAAGAAATATATTTAACCTGAAAGAAGGTTTATGGGCTGAAAGTCAAAGATGAGAAAATAATGATCTATATGACAGGGAACCAGAAAAAAGTGGGGATAGCTTGTCCTTCAGCTGCAGATTGGTTGGAATGACATAACACTTCTATACAGTGGAGAACTACTCAGCTATAAGGAAGGTAAACCTTGAGGCTTTTGTAGGTAAATGGATACAATTTGAGATAAAGCTCAAGGGTAAAAAGTTTCAGAACCACTTAGGTAAATAGGGGGTTGTCTCCCTAATCTAAAAACTAAAGGAGTTAGTGGGACACAAAATGTACAATGTATCCTGGGACAGTGAAAGGGGAGGAGCTGTCTAAATATGGCAGGGAGAGGACACTGGTAATCTTGTATCATGATTTGAAATCCATATTGCTTTCATTTACTAAACTCTAGTTTGGTTATATTCTGTTCCAGTTTGTCTACTTGTACTAGATTTCAGGGCATAGATGCTATTCCAAAGATAGCAGGATACACCGTGGACACCATTTTTAATTTTCTATTAACTTAATCTGAAACCCTATATTGCTTTCACTGCCGTGTTTTGACTCACTTTATTTGAATCTGTCTTGTTCGATCACCATCTTGTCTTGACTGATTTTATTCAAATTTGTTATGTTTGACAGTATCAAGTCTGAGGGTATAGGCAACTACTCTGAAGACAGTAAGATTCACTATGGTACCCACTCTGGTTTGACTATTACCCTCTTTTGAAGTCCTAAAATGTCTCCAATGTTTTGTTTTTACTGATTTTGTTTCATACTACTATATTTAATTTTATTTTACCCGATGATATGGGCAATTCTATTGAAGATAATGAGAGACATCATGGCAACCACTGTAGATCACCTTGTGTTGTGGTTTTAAATCATGTACTATGTCCATCCTTTTGTTTTGAATGACCTCATTTTTTTCTCATTTGGTTTTATTCTTTGCAAAATAAAAATAAAAATAACAAAAAATAAATATAGCCATATAAACAAGAGTTTGCATATATTAATTCAGTTTAATCATATCAATTCTTAAACAAAAATTTTTTTCTCCAAGAGACAATAGTTCACAGTAACTGCAAAGCTTACTCACAACTTTTAAAAATACCAGTCATGCTTAGCATTCAAAGAAGATATTAGAGAATAACTGTAAAAACTTTTACCAGGAACATCAGCTTCTGACTTTAAAAATTACAAATGCTGAAGCATTTTGGTATCAGACACAGTATTTTTGATATTGTCTGAGTTTCTGGAAGATTGATGAGTTTCTGGAATTTTGAGAATTTTTACCTCTACAGTTGGATAATGCACTTATTCTAAACTAAACATTTTCAAATGTAGAAAACAAACTAGCAAGCTACACATACAAAGAAAAGCCCTCTAAGACAAGCTCTCCACAGTGGAATGCCAGCATATGCACCATGAACCCTGGAAGACTAGAACTGATACATACACTAGGCCTGAGGTCTCAGACCCCAGGATCAACAAAGGAATTTGCATTCACCTACACATTAATGACAAACTCTGGGTTAGTATAAGAGAAGCCAGCAAATTCATTTTGGTCCAAGTTCATGATGAAGAGTTTATCAGTGGGAGTCAGTTCCACAGGCTGTCTGGTGAACTCTTTGTCGAAGTTGGAGGTGTCTCGCTTGTCTCTCTGCCAAATGGAAAGCAAACACATTAACACAGCATAAGAAGAGGAAAATATGACCAAGACATGCCAGTAATTGGAAGGCTAGTGACATCTCATTAGCAGAGTCAGAAAGAGCCCTGTGCTGACAATTTTAGCAGCTGCATTGCACATAGGTTTTAAGATAGAAAACTTGGTGAATATTTTCTAAGAAAGAATATAAATTATTTAATTTCTTTAAGGATTGCCATGAAGTGGAGTGTGGTTCTGTGTGTGTGTGTGCGTGTTTTCTTTAACTTTGAGATTAAATAGGCAACTACTTCTTACCATGCATGTTATAGAATTAGTTATTAGCTAGAATGTCCTAGAGAAAAATACACTCAATAACCCTCCCTGTGGCAAGGAGGTCTCCTTTGGAAAGGAGGAATGTTGCACAGCTCCTCTGCTTCCAGAAGGTGCAACAGCCATGTGGTGGAATCAAATCACTGATTGATAAAAGAGGCTGACCACTGCCCATCCCACACTCATTGGTGCAATCAAGGTTTTGAAGGGGTGCTCAAAAATCCACCCACAGACTACAGTTTGGATCTTCATCAGCTAGAGGTTCTCATCAAAGATGCGGACACTGTATGGAACAAAACCCAAAGCTCAAAGGAAGACCTGGAAGAGAAGTCCTAAAAAAACAGAACAACTCAATTCTGGTTATTCTGGCATCTCTTTTTCTTTGTAAAGTTGCATATGGGAGGAATTAATGATCCTACTTTGTTAACTATAATTTGAGGCAAGTTTTACCTGGGATCATCAGAGTGGATCAATAGGTCTTCCGTAAGATGCTCTGACATCTCCAGGTTTCCTGCCACCTATCACCTCTTCCCATCTTCACCTCATCTACATGTAGGCCAGTTAGGGCTGGAGTCCTCATTCCCCCATTGCTTGATATATGGGGAAACGGAGGGAGAGCTGGATGGCTGCTTTATTATAGGACAAACAAAAACAGTGCCTGGGATTCACTGGCAAGTTACCTGGCTAGAGGTAGAATTATAGAGGGAAGGTCAGTAAGTATTGGTTGGCTCAGAGTTTGGCTGGTCTTATGGTCTAAACCTAAATCATACTTGCATGATCTAGCATGGGTTTAGGGTTACTGGCAAATAGGAATTTCTCATGGCTGGGCTGAGTCTCTCTGGAAAAACTTTTCACAGAAACTGCTTTTGGCTGCTTTCTTGAGGCAAAATGTCTCTATGGAGTTCCCTAGTTCCTCTTGTGTTTTTTCAGTGTGAGTTTGCGAAAGAAGGGACAAAATCGGCAGCAGGAATGGGTAAGCATGGCCAGCTAAGGATGTTGATGTTGCTTTCCAGATGATGAGCCATCTCCTACCATGTGTCAAACGTTTTGTCTTGTCTTATCCAGCCTGCTATTAGCCTGTGCAGTGCAATGCTGTGCAGTATGGTGGCAGGTTCCACAATTGGGTACTCCATGCGTTACTTATGTCCAGAGGAAAACTCAGTGCCTCCTCTAACTTGAATGTCATCTGTGCGTTCCTCTCCTGATGCCCATAGTACATAGTATGGCATCATTTTAATTGTTTTCATCACATTTATTGCTTTCAGAAAATTTTTATTTAATGTTATTTTGAGGAGGGCAGGGTCTTTGTTTGCTTCTTCACTGGGCATTTTCAATGCCAAGAATAGTACCTGGTACATATAGGTTATTCATAATTACTTGCTGAAGGAATTAATACCATAATGAAGGTGAGCTTCTTGGCTTTTGCCAACTCACAGTCACCTCTGAGCCAGAATCATGAAGCAAAATTGTGAAATTTATTCCCATTGGTCCTAAGAGTCTCCCAAATGGGCACTGCCATGTTGAGTTCCAGTATGAATTGAACTGTGTGAGGGCCTTTCATGATCTGGGATAGCCAGGGCAGTGTGTGAACACAAAGGCAGGTATATTAGGGCCAGGAGGTAGTCAGCTGTTTCCTCCCATATTATCAAACCTATTTTGCCTTCCCTGCCTAGAAGCACGCAGCCAAAATTCTCTTCACACCACCCCAACTTTGGAAAAGCCCTCCCCATTTATTGTGCTGGTGATGACTCATGTTTTGGGAAGTCACATGATCCAAATAAGGGTTGCCTTTGCTGACTTTGTCGTGTGGGAAGATCTTCTATACAATGCCCCAGAATTTTACCCTGATATTTAGAGAATGGTCCATTCGGTTGGGCAATTCCTTTTGGTTAATAGCATCTGACATAACGTGAAAATATCAAAAATCATCCAATTTTATGGGTATTAATCACACTGGCCTCCTCTTAGTCCCCCAAAAGGGTTACTGTGATCACGACCCCAGGTCAGTGAAAAGTCTAAGAAATTGACAGGGAGACTCTTGGATACAGCTAGGCAATTAGAACATGATTAACAAGGACTTTAAATTTCTCTGGATTTTCCTATTTACTTTAAAAAATTGTTTCCTAATTTAAATCCTTTTGGAAAATTTCAGCCTGTCTTCAGTAAACTAGAAGAACTATACTGTGTCTATCGGGGGCAATGTGTTGGAAGAGAAATGTTGACTCTAGCAGGGCCAAAAAGGGTGATATTTGCAGAACTCTGAGTGGTATTCTCTGAGAGCTCAGACAGAGGACTTAAGATGCAAACTGCAAATCTAGTTCCCTTTCTCCTTGCAAAGAGACAATTCAGGTATTTGTTTCTGCTCACAGCTTCATGACTCTGGTCTTTTCAAGCATGAAGATTTCTAGAAAGAAGCCCATCTATCATCCTACCTTTTTCCTTCCCCACCCCTCACATTATGATTGTCACAGAAATCCATGTCAAGATGCTGCTGTTGTACCTGGTCTTTCAGCTTCAACCTACAGCCTATAGAGAGAAAGAGGAGGCCCAAAAATATTTGGTAACTATTCCTTTTTTGTTAAGAAGTTATGCCTGCCTACCCCAGAAATGTTCTCTCTAGACCACATCATGCTTTTAAATACTTGTGTAATGAATGGCCTTCCACCAAACAGTACACTGGGGGAAGCAGAGGAAGAGGATGAATTGCATCTTTATTACTTTTTACCGTGCTGCTGGCATTCAGCCTGGCACACACTTGGTGCTCAATAAATGCTAGCTGAATGAATGGATGGTGGAATAAATGGATGCTTGCAAAATTAAATTAAATTTTTTTTCTTCCTGAATAAATTTGTATTCTTCAGAGATTATATATGATGAAAGCTCTGTTTCTTGGTTTCCTCTGAACTATAAAGGTTGATAGATAAGAAACAGTAGGAAGTCTGACTAATGATTCTTTACTTCCACAAAAGGCTCATCTGACCACCCTTCAGCAAACTATACTAGAAGAACAGAGACTTTGGCTTGAGTTTCTATTTCTGCAAACTATGACACTTGAAAAATAATGGCAAGAATTTGAAAAATTTAGAGTGATATATATTATATTATATTGTATATATATATATATATATATATATATATCCACTATATTGCATCTATGTATCTGTTTATCTGTCTATCCATCCTATATTATGTTCTAAGGTTGTCTCAGATCATTGGTCAATGACACAATGTTTCCTCATGACTTTTATCTCAAAATCATTTCCAAGAAAGGTCTCATGATCCAACAGGAAGGTGAAGGATCTCAAATAACTGGCTAGGTGGTGGGCATAACTCCAAGGTTCTGGTCATGTTGTTCCAGAGCAGAAAGAGTCCTGTACCAAGGGGCCGGATACCCAGGCTTGGATCTTAAACAACAGAGCATGGGCAAGTCTCTTCCCCTCTCCAGATGCTAGTTTCCCCAGTAATCAAACGAGGGGATTTTGCCCTGATTTCCTTTCTCCTTTAGCCTCCTAAGCTTGTCAGGTAAGACTTCAACTGTCTTCCACCTTAGGTCCAGATCACTACCACAATGGCAGCCAGGGGATGGTCCCCAAGCCTGAAGCAAGGTGAAATGTGGGGACAGAAAAGAAAGAACTTTGAGGCACTTTGGCCAAGCAGAAACCAGAGGCATTGTTGTCTAAAAGATGAGACGTTTTTGAACATATTTGTCAAGTTCTTGATCTTTTGTCAAGATCATTCCCTTGATGATCTCTCAGGAGCCCTGAAGCTTCTAAAACTCTCTAGAGCTGTGATAAGAATTCTCTGCAGGGCTCCAACTAGCAGAAAGCAATAGGGAAGGCTGAGGGGTCACCTGCTGTCCCATTCATCCAGACAGAAGTGACATTTCTCCTACCCAAGGTGTTGTCTCAGGCTTGTGGGAGCTCACAAAGTTGCTTACTAGAAAGAATAATTAACCCAAGCTGGGAGAAATGGTGACTCTGATGAGAAAAATCAAGAGCCTCAGCCATGCCTAGCTGGCTGCTGAACTTGACTCTGGTGAGAAATGCGGGCTTTGAGCTCTGACAGTGTCAGAACCCCAGCCAGGTCACTCCACCTCATTGCAGGCCACCAGGAGTCCCTGAATAGTCCACAGCCCCTTCCTCTATGATGGACCACTGGAGCTGAATTTGAGCTCTGGATTTAGTTCTTTTCTCCCAAGTTCCTTCCTCAGGCCCTACTTTGTAGTTTGGGTCCACATTTTTCAAAGAGAGTAGTTTTCCTTGAAATAGATTTCTTCTTTTCTTTCTCTTTTTATTGTATCTTGATGCTAGAAGAAAAATGGCATATAACAGATATCCAGATACAAATGAACATTTCCAGAAACATCTTACAAAACAACATCAAAGTGAAGAATACAACCGTCTTTGTTTCAAGAGATGCTGTCTTTCTCAGAGCACTTAATTAGTTTTTCAAAGCCAGTGACAAACCTAGACAAATCATCTCCCAACAGGTATGAGCCTGCTGGGATCCACAGCTATCTTCTTGGTTGAAACACAGCAGGTCATTATGGTTAATAACATTTGGACATATATTTTAAAGCATGTGTAACAATGTGAGAACTTTTTTTTGCATTTGAACAGAAATAAAACCTCAAAGCAAATAAAGATTGAAATGTAATGTAAAACCATGGCCCTTGGGGACCTTCTAGAGTGATCATGTTATTTCGGAGAATAGCCAAATGTCCTCTTGGAGTAGTTTGGGGGCAAGGGTGACCAGGAACATATAGCATCAGGAATTACAGTGTGTGTGCGTTTGGAGGGGCATAGTACCCAAGCTGGTTGCCTTCTGACTCTTGGAAGTGTTTTTATATTGTAACTGTCTAAAAAACTATTGAAATTTTAGAAGGACTTAGATAAGCTTCTTAACTTTGAGTTAAAAAACAAAAATAAAATTTTATTTTTAGCATGCTCTTTTCAAAGCTCTGCTGCCTCCAGAACAGGCAAAGTGAAGAGATTCCCTTCAGGGCAAAGCAACCAATACCTGGATATAAGCCAAGTTCCAAGCCTGGAAGGGGAAGCATCTGATTCATCCACCCATTTTGCAGGAAAGAACCTAGACTGGATGACGGGGTGAATATAGCAGTGCAGAAAATGAGGGAAAGAAAGCAGGCATTTTTCTTTCCCCACTGGATCAACTTAGCTGACATGCTGGGGACACAAAGACTTTGATAATGTCTCAATTATGCAGCAGTATTTTCGGTAGGTTACCTGCATAATTCCATCTCGTAGAGATGCTCCAAACTATCTGAGGACATTTGGGATCCGAAACATGGTCACTCTAGGCTCATCAGAAAACAAAACATGATGCAACTTGGCAATGAAAAAAAATGTCACCACAACAGCTGTTGAGCTTGAATGACAGATATGAAGGACGGAGATCTACACATCTACTTAGCTCTTGACTTCGGGTTTTAAAAATTCAGAGTTAACAAAAGAAAATCCTTCGAATTCTGATTGGTCAATATTCCTGATGACTTCCTGGTCAGGAGGTGTTAGGACTGGTGGATGGCGGGTGAAAAATCGGTCGAAGTTCTCAGCATTTCGCCCACACTATGAGAGGGGAAGAAAAGAACTTGTGGTGGGTGGGAAAAACAAAAGCAAAAGCCAAAACAAAACAGAATCAACCAAAATTGAGTGTGGCTCTCTTCAGTCCCTTCCCAACTCAGAGAAGTTGTTTCTGTGATCAGAAATGAGAGTAACATAAAATGCAAAATTCTCATGACCTTAAGTACACGACCTTAGGCTCTGGATTTTAAATTGCTGTAGCTCACAAGTTGTCCTTGGCTTCTTTCTGGACAAAGGCATAAGATGGTGGGGCTACTGGTACGTGGCATGCCCCCTGCCCCCACCCTGAAGATTCGATCAAGCTTATCTGTTGGTGAAGATGGAACGTACCTGAACGTTTTGTGTGCTACAAGATGCAAAATAATAATCCATTTATACATCACCTGGAAAGTCTCAGTATTTATAGCAGCAGATCCCTTAACATGTTTTCCTGTGGCTCTTGATCAGGAACAATTAATAGAAGTTTCCAGTTCAACCGGATATAGTTTACAAACTCCAGCCAGTGAAGGAAGATCCCAACCACAAGACCGGGGCTTGCTGCCCACAATGTCTGGGCCAACACAGGGCCCTGGCTAACTGCATCGCTCATCTGACCCCTAAGTACACAGTTCCAGGAGGTAAACTCTGCCGTCCTCTTTCCAAATAGAAGTAGTAAGAAAGGAAACAAACCAGTGCTGAGTGAGCAATTAGGCTCTAGAGAGAAAATCTGTTCCATTTTTCCTCCTGTCCTGCTGATCCCTCTATGTGAGTTAACAGTGATCAGAGGTAAAGTTACAACATATTTATGTGTGTGCAATGTGTACATAAGTGCACACGCAGGCCCACATTAATTCATACCCACAAGTCACTAAATCTGAAGTCCCTTGCTCTTCACCAGTAAAACCGATTTGCACAAAAGCTCTAAGTAGTTCAGTAGTTCAGTATTTCAGTACACTGAAATAGAGGTAACTACAACCTAATAATAATATGGTAGTAGTAGCAGTCATAATAATGACATTTGATATTTATTGTGCATTTACTTTAGGTAGCCACTTTGCAAAGCTCCTTACTTGCATTAGTATATTTAATATCCCCAGTGGATATTAAGTGGGTATTATTGTCATCCTTGTTTTATAGATGAAGAAACTGAGATCAGGGAGATTGTGTTCTCCTTTTAATGTCTGACAGCTAATGAACAGCAAAGTTATAGTGAGGGCTGGGCTGACTGCTGAGTCCAAGTTTACATTTTTTCCAGTCTAGCTAGCTTAGCTAGCCACACTGAAAAGTGGCAAGAGCAAAAGAGGAAGCACAGTCAAGGATGAGCACGATCAGGTCTTTGATTCTGAATGAGCGAATATGTGGTATCACCTGTTAAGACAGAGCAAGTGGGAGAATTCAGATAGAATGACTTTCACTTTGGACATGATGATTTGGAGAGGCCAGTGAGAGTCTAGACGAGGAGCAGAAGTCAGAAGTTCAGCTTCTGAAGCTCAGAAGAGAGATCTCAAAGATAAATTCACACAACAAAATCAGGAGGGCAGGCGACAGTTACAGCAGTAAAAGCCACTGAGCACTTTCTATGTACACATTTGCTAAGTGTTTTTGTGCACATTTCCCTTTTAATTTATGTACCAACCCTGTGAGGTAAGCACTTTATTCCCATTGCCAAGGAGGAAGTTTCCCCTAAAATTGTTGTTGAGCAGTAGGAGAGAGCAACAAAAGACAAACGGATTGAGAGAATCCAAGGACAAAGTCATTGCCATAACTGAATTTTCTCCAGGGAATCAAATAGGAGAACTGCTAAAAATGGGCCATTCCATTTGGCAACTGGAAAGACACTGATGAGCCAGGGAAGGGGGCCATTGCGCTCACTGCCGGGCCATCGGGGTACACTGAGAAAATCAAGGAGTGCACCATGCTCCTCTTTTAAGCCTTAATGGAGAAGCAGATGTATCTGACACAGTTGTTAGCATCTTAGCCTCTCAGTTGCTTCTTTGTTGAGTAGAAATGAACCCAGGCATCTCTAGCCTGATGCTGTGGATTTGAATCCTGATGTCGTGCTGCTCATGCACCACAGGAAAGCTTCCTAAAGTCTCAGGTTCCTCTCGTGCCTACAGGGGCAATTCCAAATCATGTCATATGAAGTCAGGATGAATATAAAATGAGATAACGCATGCAACTCACTCAGTGGCTGGCACCAAGGAGGTGCTTGACACACATCACATCTGTAAGTATCATCTGGTTCTCGTTTACATTGCAAAACCCTATAGACAACACGTACTTCTTAGGATAGGATATTTTCATGGTGTTTTAGTTTTAAACACTGAAGAAACAGCCTTGAATTTGAAAAGACTCTTGTTAGACTTCAAGAAGCATACTTGTTTCTCTGAGCTAAATTGTATTTCCTTTTATTGTTATGTTAAAAGAAACCACCTTACTATTACAAAATATGCTTCATACTGATTTTGACATGAGAATTTTAAAAACACAAATTTGATAAAAGGATAGAAAGAATCAAATTCCAGATGAAGCAATGACATGGACACAGAAAAAAAGTTGTAGAAAAAAAGGTTAAGTAAGAGTATTTATATGATGATGGTGGAAAAGATATTTCAAGAGGACATAAACCAAGAAGCAATAAAAAATCTGAAAAAATGTGACTACAAAAAATTTATAATTTATGTATGGTTAAAAAATCCAATAAATCTAAAGGCTAAGAACAAATTAGAGAGCCACATTTGTAACACCTAGTAAAGAAAAAAGGCTCTCTGCTAAGAACTAAAATGAGTAAATAAGACAATCCAAATGAAAAATTGAAAAGAAGGGAGAAAATTAATTTTGAAAAGTCAAAATGTATCAACGATGCTCAAATCTCATTAATGCTTAAAGAGATGCATACAGACAATGAAGAAATGACCTTTGAATACAAGGTTGGTGAAGCGAGAAAAGATATCATTTGTATATGTGGAGGAACAGTTTTGCAGGCAGGGGAATTGCACATACAAAGGCCCTGAGGCAGGTCCTGTTACTAAAACCACCAAACAACAAGGAAGCCACTATGTCAGAGCAGACCAAGGGGAAGATAGAGAGGCAAGGTCACAGAGGGGCCGGGAGCCAAAGTATGGTTCTCAGTGGCCATGTGATTTTCATCTCATTTTAATGAGAAATCGCTGAAAGTTTCAAATTCTAAGTGACCTAATCTGACATTTTAAGAGAGCCACTGGTGCCATGTTGCAAGGATTCAGGAAGTAAGGATGAGAGTCTGAAGGAAGGAGACCATAGGGAAAACGGAGCTGTACTTTGGGATTTGAGATACATCTTGCATTTAGAGTTAACAAGGTATGTTGATGTAGCTGGTGAGGGGAAGGCAGGTATTGATTGGCGAGCTCAAGATTTTTGCCCTGAGTTACTTGGTAAATAAAGGCCAGTGGTGTAAAGCACATATATGGGCGGAATATGGTTTCATTTATGTACATCTGAGACTCCAGCACCACACCAAGGATGCTGGTGGGGACTTTTCGGGGAGAAGGGGAGAAGGAAAAAGAGAGGATCAAGGAGCTAGACTGACACTGGGGACATAAGGTAAGAGAATGTCTCAGTCTCCCAGAGGGGAGAGAGGATGGGGAGGGTTGTGAAAAGGCTGCAGGACAGAGGGAATGCTGCTCGGGGAAGATAAAGCGGTGCTGAGGGTGGCAGGGTTGCTGGTGGGAAATGGCATGCCACCGGCAGGTCTGCAGGTGCTTTCTTTGGTCTGGATGTTGGGACGCACACCAGCCAGTATGCAAAGCGTATTAGCTGAAACAAAGAGAGCCTTCAGGGCCTGTTTCTTCTTTAAACACCATCCATTTCCCTTCCACACCAGAAGGCTGCTGATTCGCCTGGGTTCCCCAGAGGCTGGGATGAGAGCCCTGAAACAGCTCCTGGCGGCTCGCTCCCTCCCCACCTCCTCTGAGAACAATGAAATCTTTAAGTGAGATAGCACAGAGGCTAGCAGGAACAGGGGTTAACCAAGGGGACACAATACAGCAATACAGCGGGTGCGTGATTTCCCTGCTAATAAGCAGCTTACGAGGCTGGCAGATCTCAGCCTCCCTGTTAAGTGTTTCTGTGTTTTTCAAATGGAGCTGTCATTGCCCATTAGCTTCAGGAGCACTCCCTAAATGGAGACGTCAGCCCTTGGGAGGCATAGCCGGGTTCAGCTGGAGCCTGCTGAGTCCTTGGAGAATTGGCAGCTCGGTGGCTGGGATCTGATTACAGACATGGCCTGGACCACACCTGCCTCTCTATCCTGGTTGGATTCTTCAGTTTTATCTAGTCACTGAAAGAAAATTCAAATTTCTTGTAATATAGGTACCCCAACAGGACCTCTGGAACAGGGATGGAGGAACTTGAGGAAGAAAAAAGTGAACCCGTGAACTCTCACATGTGAGGTCTTTTTTTTTTTGCTGCCCTTCCTTCTAATTTTTGTTTTGTTGTGTTAATAGGAATCTAGATCTCAAATTTGGGCCTGAAGTGTAATAGCAGGTGGTACAGCAGGTGTTTAGTAGGTAAGAGGCTGTGGGTTCAACTCAATCACCAGCACCACAAAACAAACAAATGAATAAATGCAGAAGTTGCTTAGCTATGCCAGCCACAGAGATCTTTGGAAAATGTCAGGCAAAATACAGTAGCCCCCTCATTTTCAGGATAATATGTTTTGAATGCACAGTGGATGCCTGAAACCATATCTAAACTGAACCCTACTATGCCTACTATGTTTTTTTCCTATACCTACATACTGATGATAAAGCTTAATTTATAAATTAGATACCATAAGAGATTAACAGCAATAGCTAAATGACTGAATAGAAGATGTATGACAGTATACTATATTAAAAGTTATTTAGAATGTATAGAATGTTTTTTTCTGAAATTTTTCATTTAATATTTTTGATCACAGTTGACAACAGGTAATTAGAACCATAGGAAGGAAAGCCATGGGTAGAGGGGATCACTGTATGTCATCC